ATTCCTGCATGCATGCAGTAGAAGGGGTGTCGATACACCGCATGCAAAAATAAAAAAACAAAAAAAAATAAAATAAATAAATAAATAAATTTTATTAAAAATTAAAAAAATAGAAAGAGAGCAGACGACAACAAAAAACAAAACAAAAAAATAAAAAAAAGAAAGAGAGAAACGAAAAAAAAAAGAAAAAAATATGCATACAGAGAGAAAGAGAGATAGAGAGACAGAGAGAGACATCTGCATATGCAAGCAAAGGAGACAAACAGAGAGACAGATAAAGAGAAGCAGAAAGAAACAAATAAATAAATAAATAAATAGGCAAATAAATAAATAAATTAAATAAATAAATAAATAAATAAAGAGAGAAGGAGAGGAGACAAAGACAAAAAAAAATAAACCCTTGCTATTACATTTTTATATTTCAGGTTTATACACCGCAGAAGCATCAACTGCTCCAGCAGCAGCAGCAGCAGCAACAACAGCAGCAGCAGCAACAGCTGCAGCAGCAACAGCAGCAGCAGCAGCACAACAAGAGGAGCTGCTGTTCAGCCGTCTGCGTGAGAAGGAGGCGAGCTGAGCTGCCTATACACCAGAGCTGCCTATACACCTGAGCTGCCTATACACCTCATCTGCCTATACACCTGAGCTGCCTATACACCTCAGCTGCCTATACACCCGAGCTGCCTATACACCCGAGCTGCCCATACACCTGAGCTGCCTATACACCCGAGCTGCCTATACACCTGAGCTGCCTATACACCCGAGCTGCCTATACACCTGAGCACTAGCTGCCTATACACCTGAGCTGCCTATACACCTGAGAGCTGCCTATACACCTGAGCTGCCTATACACCTGAGCTGCCTATACACCTGAGCTGCCTATACACCCGAGCTGCCTATACACCTGAACTGCCTATACACCTGAGAGCTGCCTATACACCTGAGAGCTGCCTATACACCTGAGCTGCGTATACACCTGAGCTGCGTATACACCTGAGAGCTGCCTATACACCTGAGAGCTCCCTATACACCTGAGAGCTGCCTATACACCTAAGCTGCCTATACACCTGAACTGCCTATACACCCGAGCTGCCTATACACCTGAGCTGCCTATACACCTGAACTATGTTTTTTGTTCAGTTGCTGCGAGCCTCCTCTGAACTTCGAGATGGTCACCCGCTTCCCCTGGCAGTGTGCAGACTGCAAGGTACTTATATTTTTTTTTATTTTTTATTTTTTTTTATTTTTTATTTTTTTTTATTTTTTTTTTAGTTTGTTTGTTTGTTTGTTTGTTTTGTTTTATTTAGTTATTTGTTTTGTTTTATGTACTTTTTTTCTGTTTTTGTTTTATTTATTTTCCTTTACTTGTTTTTTTTTTTTTTTTTTTTTTTTTTTTTTTTTTTTTTTTTTTTTTTTTTTTTTTTTTTTTTTT